TATTTAAAATTGCCTCCAATTTGAATGACTGCCTTCCCGGTTGACAATTCAAATAGACCGCCCTTTTTGGGCTGGTGGAATTGTACCCTATTTAAGTTTTACAAGATATCTATATTCTCCGTTTTCCTTACCGCGCAAATCGTTTTTACCGCTCTGGCTATACTATTTTTGTACCATATCCTTGGGCAGCTATATATTGTTTTAATTCATGAGTTTGAGACGCGGTTTCGGTCACCCGTTGACTGTTGATCCATATCGGCTTTGTTTGCCTTTTGGGGCACCTCACCGTTTGTCGAAAACCGTTGAGGTTTGTAATTTTGTATTCCGTGTAACCACTTTCATTTTTATAGCACAGTGCATTTGCGTAGCCATTCTTTCGGAGTTTTGCCGGTTTGGTTGCTAACCTTGGTACACGTTGCTCAATAATTCGAAACGTTCGTTACAGTACTCAACGTTGACAAGCGTGGTTCTTTGGATGCCAATCACCAGGTCAATGTCGGTCAATTCAAAACGGGAAGAATTTGAGAAAAAGGTCAGGCAAGTCGGACACTGTTCGTTTTCAACGATCAGCTCTAGGGCTAGTGTAGCTTCTAAGATTAGTTTGTGGAATTCGCGGTCCAAAGCTGCTCTATTGTTAGCGCAACTTAAAGAGAGACAACTTAAAAAGGAACTCGAGCTTGAGTCAGAGGCAATGAAAACTAACCATAAAAAACAACTCTTGACGGCTAAAGCCTAGGTGGAGTTGGCTGAGCTCGGAGCTTCTTTGGCTCGAAGCGAAGACGGTTTAGAGCAGTGCAACCGGTCAGGTTTTTCAGAGTCCTCAATAAGTCGCATAAAAAGCTATGTTGAAGTTTGCAGAAAGATTGTAACGCCATTGAACTCTGAAAATCGACATAGTCTCGGAGTAGGAGAACGACAGCGTAATGGATTAGGTGACTTCCGTCATCTGGAATCCATTATAGAGGGCCTGGAGTTACCTAATGCAGTTTGATGGTCAACCCAGGAGCTATTGAAGGTTTACGCGTCAATTTGAGCTTTAAGTCGAAAGCAAGCCCCAAGGCGGGGAAAAGAGGCTCGTACAATAGGTAAACGGGTGCTCCGGCGTAGCCAGGGAGGCTATCGAAGGTTGTCTCATGCTTCAGCCTGCGTTAAGATATGAACATGCCCGCCGAATTCTGCACGAGTCTTTCGGAAGGTCTCATGTGGTTGCTAGAGCCCTGATAGATGAGCTCATCAAATGTTTTCGTTCTATCTCGTGTAAGGCAAGAGATCTGACTCAGTTGGCCTTCAAGATGAAGAGTTGCTAAATAGCTCGGCTCAGATGAACTACAGTGCAGAAATGAGTTCCCTGGAGAATTTGATAGGTTAGTGAGGTGCTTGCCTAATACTTTACAACACAAGTGGGCGGAATTCGTTTGCCAAACCACTCATGATCGGGGAGAGCCAACCTTCGCCGACCTCACACAGTTCGTTACTCAGAGGGCGAGAGTGCTAATCCGTCGTTACGGCCTTCTGGCAGAATACCGAGCCAGCGAAATTTGTGGAGTGTGATCAGTTCATCTATCGTGGGTGTGTTATTTCTTCCAGAAACCATTTGACGTATTTCAGCATTGTTGATCCGGGGTTCCCACCAGACTCGGGCAATGCTCCGAAGATATCGATAGTCAAACATTGATAGTCTTCCAGTATCCTAAGCCTGCTTCTGACCCGCACAATAATACGGAGCGTTTTGTAGTATTGTAAACGGATAAGCTGATGTCACGCCTAAGGTACAAGTGATGCAGATTCACAAAAGCTGAACTGGCCTTCTCTGTCCGGATGGTAATCGCATATTTGGCGAGACCACCGGGATTGATACAGCTGCCAAGGTGGACAAATTTGTCTAGCACCTCAAGAGGCCCATCCGCAGGCATAATGCTAGAGTTCAAGGCGACCCAGTCTTGCAGGAGCACCTTACACTTTGGAGGTGTGATGCGCATGCATACCCAATATCTGCGTGCGGACCTCCCGGAGTTCTTCGACCCCACAGGCATTAGAGGCTGATAGTGAGTCCTCCATGGTCGTATCAAGGAAGCTGAAGAAAGGTGAACAAAGACAGCCTTACCTGATACCATTTGATGTGGTTAACAGAGGCGGCAATTTCCCGTAGGCCTTCACACGTCCGCTGGAGTTGGCGTACAGCGCTTTAAGGAGGGTGAATTTATGGGGGACATCTTTGCTCCAGACACTGCCATGGTGCTTGAAGGCCCACAGAGTCAAAGGCAGCTTTCAAATCAGGGAAGAAAACCATTGTTAGGCGCTCGAAACAATATCGCCGTTCCAGAATCTGTCGGAGGGTAAACATTTGGTCCATGCATCCTCTTGCAGGACGGAACATAGCTTGGTTTTCACATATGTCTCTCTGTGTTCAGTGAGCCTTCGGAAGATAGGACCAGAGAGTGTGTTCGATGCCACAGCTGCCAGGCTGATGCCACTTGTCCGCGTACCCTTTTTCATTGTATAAATAACCGTCAACATGCCCCATTCCGCAGGCACTTTCTCTTGACTACATATCGCACTAATAAGATTTGTCAGATGGGTCACCAGGTACGCTTAATCTTCTTTGAAGGAAGTTGGATATAGACCATCCGGTCCTGGTGCCTTCTCACGTTTCATCACGGGTATTTTGTACTTTGAAGGCGACTGAGATTTAAATTCCATTCCATTCGTCCGTATGCACTTTCCCCACGGGCTGGGTGGCAAGGAACCAGCTAAACTGTTCTTCAAAAAGTTCGGCCCATCTTTCCAGTCCATGCTTTTGCGACCGAATGAACGATCTGCCTCTTTCACTTACCGTTTCACGGACCGCTGCTTTTCTAGGGTCAGCAAGTCGCATCAGTTGATATAGGGTATGGCTGTTTCTGGTAGCAAAAGCCTTCTTCATCTCCCAAGCTTTCCATGTCCACCAGAGCTCCCGTCTTTCCGAGGCTGTTCACTAATTAGCGTTCGAGGGATTTGAGTGCGCCGTCGTATTTGTTGCCCGTTGGTATGGATTTCTGGGCATCAACCAGGACTAGCGACCTCAACGACACCGTACCGGAGCAGTCGTATAAACAGCACTCATTGCCGCCAGCATATTCCCTCACATGCTCACTACCAGTATTGGTTTACTGTGGAGGATTGTTGGGCTAGCTCAAATCGATACTGCTGAACTATGGTAGTTTTTCCAAAATGGTGAATTAGCATACTTCTTGCTGACTTGGAAGGGCCTGAGGGAAAATTAACTGCCAGACGTGCAAACACCATGGTGCGATGGGAATCAAGTTGCGTGCTCCAGAAGGAACGGCAGCCTCGAATTGTAGCTCTTCACCAGTAGCTGATGGCCACGTGATTAACTTAGTCCAGGGTTGATCTGCAGTTGGTAGCCGCTGGGTTACGCGACGCGAACGTTTATCCCAAAAATTTGTATTGGTCAGAAATAGCTGATGATTAGCATGTAGTTGGAGGAGTGGCTCCCCGTAGTCTGTGCGACGAGCATCGACTCCGAAACGAACGCCCAAGTGCGATTCAAAGGTTGATTTGGGAATTAATATCGCCCACGAGTATCACAATATCAGTATTCTGTTGCTTGAAGAATGGGCTCGGATAACTCTCGATAGGAAGTATCCTTCTCTACGTCAGAGCTGCGGTCCGACACTACAAACAGGCATCGCTTTTATGTCGAGAAACACTGAGCTGAACTGAGCCGGTAATCGGACGGCGCAAAGACTGTTCAATAGGACCCAATCCAGCAAACCGTCTTCAGCTCTGGGCTGAATGCAACTCCCACGCCATATTTTCCACGAGTCATTGCTTCTGGACCACCGAATACACTGAGGGCTGAATGTGGAAGACCTGAGTTCGTCGTTGGCGTTCTGAAATGCATAACCACGACTGGGTCTTCTATTCGTGTCTCGGAGACACAACATGCATCAATTTCAAGGAAACATGATGTTTCAGCCAGCAGTGCCTGTTTGCCAATTCGATATACAGTGCGGACTTTAAAAGCTCCCATATCGAAAGAATCTCATGGATTTAGAAAGATGTTATTTTGCTTATTGACCAAAAGCAACGGGGACCATAAAGCCCCTTGGCCAGATGACTGGCGGTCAAACGACGCAGCGACGTTTGCTTGTGTAGTGGGAGGGTGTTGTGGATATCAATATCCCGAAACCTCTGTATCTTGGTGTACTAACGGACTTCCGGAATTTTTCAGTGTCAAACTATTGATATATATATGCATTATCATCTCTCCGTTATCACCTTCGCCTGTTGTTCGAAGAATTACAGTTGTCTAAGGAATATCACTATTACCACAACCTCTCGATTTTCCATTATTGCTATCTATGAGAAGTTAATGAAAGGCTCCGTAGGATCTCAACAGAACCTTAATTTGGTTCATATGCACTGCAACAGCGTTTATTAGTGTTTGTTCCAGTCGCCATCCGTCTTTGTTTGGGTGTAACGCTTTTTTAAAGTGTAATCCCGGGTAACTTGCACGGTCTCTACATGCATGTGATGAGTGTCCTTGACACAACTCAGCGATACCTAAAGTGCCACTCAGCGACAATACATAACTATGGTCGAAAATGAGGTAATCATCGTGCAGTTCCAAGTTGCACGGGACGAACTAACGACAAGTTGTTTATGAGGTTGTGGTAATAGCATCAGCTGCCGTATTTACCCGAGGCACGACGTTTATCACTGGGTAATCTCCGGCTGCTTACACGGTTTCTGAATGTACGCGAAACGAGTGTTGTCAACAAAGACCAGTGATGCCTAAAGAGCCATCCAGCGACCATGATTAACTATAAATCTGTAAATGATGTATTGTGCTGCTAAATGTTGCACGGAGGGAACAGCGATAACTTCTTTGTGAGGTTTCGGTGTCAAAACCAGCCACTTGCGTTACTTTCATTTCGAAGAAAATAAACGCAATTTGCGGGTTGCACACCACTCCCAAACCGTCGAACATTCCACCGTTAATTATGGCGAGGACCAGTCAAACAACCGTCCGTGTAATTGGTTAAAAGTCGAGTAGGCTGTTGTGTTGACTCTCTGATTGGTCAAAAATTGAACCCCCAAATGCGTGACTGCAGTTGGTCAGGGGATCTCAGGATTTGGAGTAACGTCGCCCCAATTCGGCAATGTCCTCTTCCTACCTTGAAGAAAGCATATGCACTACACCAAAATGGACTAGCGCTGGGCTCGATTTTCGCCGTACGCGGTAAGTTTGTGAAAGGCCTCACACGCGCAGGTTCGATAACAGATTATTTCACCAACCCGGGCAGTCAACACTCCTCGCCTGGTTCAGATTTATACACACAAGCATAAGAAAATGTTTATCCATTTGCGCTTCTTTTCCATTGTGTACCCATTTGTTCACTGATATCAGCCAGGTCATGACAGGCTGGTAAGCCTACCTGCGCACCCTAACACACATGGACTAAATGGATGTCCTACAAATATGAAACGTGGAGTACAATGTTATGCCACCCTGTTTTGATGTCATTTTAAGTACAAAGTTCTGAAATACGGTGGGATAAATAAACTATCCACCATTCCCACCACAGTTTTTCGCCAGCAGCCGGTACCTCGGAGTACAACGATTGTTGCAAATTCATATGTATTTAAAATTGCCTCCAATTTGAATGACTGCCTTCCCGGTTGACAATTCAAATAGACCGCCCTTTTTGGGCTGGTGGAATTGTACCCTATTTAAGTTTTACAAGATATCTATATTCTCCGTTTTCCTTACCGCGCAAATCGTTTTTACCGCTCTGGCTATACTATTTTTGTACCATATCCTTGGGCAGCTATATATTGTTTTAATTCATGAGTTTGAGACGCGGTTTCGGTCACCCGTTGACTGTTGATCCATATCGGCTTTGTTTGCCTTTTGGGGCACCTCACCGTTTGTCGAAAACCGTTGAGGTTTGTAATTTTGTATTCCGTGTAACCACTTTCATTTTTATAGCACAGTGCATTTGCGTAGCCATTCGTTCGGAGTTTTGCCGGTTTGGTTGCTAACCTTGGTACACGTTGCTCAATAACTCGAAACGGTCGTTACAGTGATGTCTACAGCTAAAGGACGCACTTCGACCCAGCTCCTTCGAAAAACTAGTCTAAGTTTGAGAAAAAGGTCAGGCAAGTCGGACACTGTTCGTTTTCAACGATGAGCTCTAGGGCTAGTGTAGCTTCTAAGATTAGTTTGTGGAATTCGCGGTCCAAAGCTGCTCTATTGTTAGCGCAACTTAAAGAGAGACAACTTAAAAAGGAACTCGAGCTTGAGTCAGAGGCAATGAAAACTAACCATAAAAAACAACTCTTGACGGCTAAAGCCGAGGTGGAGTTGGCTGAGCTCGGAGCTTCGTTGGCTCGAAGCGAAGACGGTTTAGAGCAGTGCAACCGGTCAGGTTTTTCAGAGTCCTCAATAAGTCGCATAAAAAGCTATGTTGAAGTTTGCAGAAAGATTGTAACGCCATTGAACTCTGAAAATCGACATAGTCTCGGAGTAGGAGAACGACAGCGTAATGGATTAGGTGACTTCCGTCATCTGGAATCCATTATAGAGGG